AACAAACATGAAAATTTTAATTATAATATATTTTTTAATCGTTTAAGTTAATATTTGTGGTCTTTCTAAACAAGTCTGGGTTATTAAATGTTTTTCAGGCATCAATCAAACAAATCGTAAATCAAATATTAAATTAATTAGGGTTCTTACATAAACCTGAACAAATGGGGTTATTAATTTGCCAAAACCCCCTATATTAGTTAATTTGGAATTATAAAACAATGCCTTTTAGTATTAAGATTTTTGTGATAGTGATGGCAGAAATTTTATTCGAGAAATAAAGGGATTAAGAATAATTCAATATTAAATCTTCAGGATGCAATATGAATTGTTAAAAAATAATACGTTTGTATGCTTTAAAAATATGGAATAACTCGAATCTTCTTTATCTCTCTTAAATGACAAATTCTAAAACATGTCCAACTTATTAAATATGAAGTCCCAAAAAATTCATAACACCTAAATTCTTGATGAAAATTTAGCATGGTTATGAGGTGACAATCACCCTCATCAATTTGATTTGCTTAGAACCTCAATGGCCTTTAGCGTTCCTTCATTTTTTAATTGTTAAATTGTCCATTCCTGGTGAGTGGCTTTTAATGTCTAAGCTAATAACATATTATCTGATAGAGGCAAGAGATTACTTTGATTTTAAATATTTTGTATAACATACTAGTGAATTAGACTATAACCAATATCACTCATTTGGTATAAATGAATTCATTATCTTTTACTATTAACTTTAAGTATGAGAAGTTTATTAATATGAAATTAGAACTGAGAAAGTTGAAATTTAGGTTTATTCTATGTATATGATTCACAATTAGGTTTTTTAGTTCTTTAAATCTATAATCTAACTTTTCTAAATTATTATCTAATGTTTTTTATATAATTTACATCTTTGATATAACTCTTTTTCAACTTTTCACCTGTCTTCTTAGGTCTCATTATTATTTCTCTTTCTAGATAGATCTCTTTTCTCTTCTTCCTACTTTGAAGTAGAAGTTATATGACAGAGGATGCTAAGTAATTGATGAATATAAACTAAAATTGCTAAGACTAACCAATGAATATATCGTATTTACATCTGCTTATTCTTCATTTACTCTATTAAACTTTTTCTATATTTGTCTTGATTGTCTATATTTCTTTGGATAGCCACTACAATTTGTTAAATTGTGAATCATTATGTTCATTCAGCAATAAAAATAATAATGCTCTAAAATACAATATTGAATTCAAAATCTTATGGGATTATAACACGAATTACTCATATGCGGAACAGAATTAAACTCTATAATCGCAATCGCCAATGCTACAAGTTAGATCTTAATATTCCTAATTAAAATCATGTTTTATGTTTTCTAATTAGACACAAAGAAAATATCATTGTTTTCTGTTTACGGCTATTTCTATTAAATACATTTCAAAAAAGCATTCTTCTTAATGTATGCAACTGATATCCTTCAACTTGATACTCTTTAATGCACATTCTATCTAGTACTCTCTATATTCACCTTTTATACAATTAGAGTAGAGTAGCTTCGAATAATAAAATTTCAATTAGTTTCATGCAAAAGAGAGGCATAATTAAAATCAGAAATTAAAAATATTAATATTATATACACAGAACTTTTTAGTGTCATGATCAAAAAATGCATTTTGAATAAATATTCAAGTTCATAAAATATTTATCTTCTATAATATTTTTCATAATAATCATTCTTCCAATTCGATTTAGCTATTCAGTATACAACTTCCCCTTTATTAAAATAACGTTAGTAAATTGATACCTTACTAATTTACAAATTCTCCATCTTTTATGTAAGCTTCCTTTGCTTAAAATAAAAGTTACTAAGATATAAATTAGGTTGAAAAATTCACATCAACTAGTAATAAATAGATAAAATACAACTTTCTGCCTGTTTATTGTTTTATAAATCTTCAAATGCAGTATTTTGAGGATTACAATAAAAACTAAAATTTTAAAGTCTAATTTATTTTTTTATATCATATAAAAGTATCGAGTAATCTTAATCACTAATTGCTAATAAGGTCCCATCAGGAGAAAAACATAATGAATATACAGTTCTAATATGATTAGCAAATGTTGCTATTTAATATCTGCCCTCTACTTAAAATAATCTAATAGTTTTATCAAAATAAGATGCTAATTTAGTACCATCACAAGAGAAGCAGACTGCATGTTAAAATTTGCAATTAAGGTTTTAGCACAAAATATTTTAAATATATTTATTGTAACTATTATTCAATTAGTTCAACACTTCTTGGCCATTTAAATATTAAAAATAACTGTAATTATAAAACTGATGATATCATCTTGTTAATATATTTATTGAAATATTGTAGTTGCTAAATATACTATATAATAAAATTATTGTGATTTCATAACAATTTCAAAACTGAAATCTATTTCTAACATTATACATTTCAGATAAAAATTATAGAATCAATTAAATTAAATGTTGATTTAATAATCTAAATATAGATCAAATTATATTATAATTAAAGGTGCCCAAAGGGTTCAAAAATCCGACAGCATTCTTTATCACAAAAAAATCCTATTTTCGATACTAAATTTCTATGTTTCCATGAGAAGGGAAAAGAAATCATCGAATGGTTAGGGAACAGAATTGGTCCTAAATTTTAATCTTATTTAGCTATATCCAGAAAGCAGAGATATGCTGATAAATAATAGAGTTGACATAAAAAGTACTTCAAAGCTATTTTTTGCTTAGCCTATAAGGGTTTTCAGCCATTAAAGATAGAAATTATTTGATTTCCCTAAATTTTGTTAGTTCATCATTTTACTATATTAATTCAACATTGATTTATCAATATAGTGAACCAAATATCATATCAGACTGCTTAAACTTTTTCATATTTAATCGAAAACTTCTTAGGGACTGATTGTGGTTAAAAAGATAGATATCATTTTATTTAAATGATCCTAAGTGAAGCCTTCTGGATGCATATATAAATAGACTCTTAATTTATTGCTTTTTTAGTTGGATGAACAACTAAATAAAACTATCAAAAGAGTTGCTTCAGTAATAGATATTAAACCCTTATGTTTCTTCAAATGATAAAAGGACTTTGATTAAATTTACTATCATGCAAATACTGTATCTGATGAATTCTATAGTGAGCTAAGGGACAGAA